AAGAGCCGGTACTACCCACTAAAACCCGACATTCCCCTCCCCTCCGCCTTAATGGGACGCCGCAGGATCGCTTGCGCATAACTACTACGGCGCCCCGGCGGCAGGTCTGCCTAAAAAGGCAGACCACCAAACCAATGAGGCTGCTCCACAGTCAACTCTGCTACGCCAGAGAGGTACCCGGAGCAGCCCCATTAAACCTGCCCACCGCCCACCGAAGTGGGCCACCTCCAATCGGCTGCAGAGGACAGGGAGAGCGGCAACGAAACACCGACACTTCTCTTCCCCTGCAGCCCCACCGCGTCCGCCATCAAACGGTGGCGGCCCCGTCTAGGCCGCGGAAGGTAGGGAGAACGGCGCACCGAAATACCGGCACTCCTCTCCCGCCGCGGCCTACTCCTCCGCCGGATGCGGGCCTGCGACCACAGTCCCGCAACCGGCACCCATCATCCGGTTGTGGGACCAAGCGGTCTCACCACCGGTGGCCGCAACGTCTTCGGCTCGAGTCCTAGACGAGCGGCCCCACCCAAACCATTTGGTCCGCGCCGGATTTCTCCGGTACCACCCGCCGCCCTAAGCGGGTGGCATCCACCTGAGGACGCGCCCGGTAGGAGTTGGCTTCTCCCCCGGGAAAGTTTTGACCACTGGGCCAACAGAATTTGTATCTTTTTATTACCTGAAGGCAAAGCCAAAAAAGATTATGATTTTTCGATTTTAAATTTGACCAATGAGTAATAGAATGAAATGGAAGGAATCGATTCGTTAATATTATTATAGTAACTACCTGGGCGATTTAGCTTTATCCGGCCTTTTTCGAAAAATACATAAATAATGCAATTTTTCAGAAACAATACCTATGTATATAGTATAGATAAACTTAAAAAGCAAACCCTTATCTAAATCCATAAGTCGTTAGAGCCGTTTCCGAACTAATCGAAATAAATTTATACACATATGTATACAATAATTGCTCATTTAATAAGATATACATAATATATAAAACTAGCGACTCACCCTCGCTCCATTCTGGTGCGTCCATAGTTACGTTTTAACGTTTAGTATAGATTTCTCAGAGATGAGATATTTTCCCGCAGTAAAAAGTATCCTATATGTTGACTCGGATAACCAGCTATCATCAAATATAATTTCATCAAAATCTATCCAGCGGGTTTCTCGTGATGCGTTCCCAGACAGACAGACAAAAATTCAAAAAACTATAAATTCAGCCTCTGTATCGATAATAATGACTATTTCAATAAGATTTTCCAAAAAAAATATTTAATATACAGATTCGACTCAGAATTTTATTATATGTATAGATAATATTATCTATATAAATGTAATTCTATGAACTACTTTTTTCTTAACATAAAGTGTTTTTTGGTTTACGTTACATAAAGCAAAGAACTGACTGTTTATTATTCAACAAGAGCGTAGGACGTGGGTTCCACAAGTAGCTATTCGAACCTAATACGACCAAGTAGTTTCTCGCTTATCGCAAATACTATTGGGAATAGAATCGAAATGTAGAACAGGAATACAATATTAAGTTACTCAACGTTTTCTAATGTTGTCACAAAAGTTGATTATTATCTATAAAGTTCGTTCAAAGAATTTAACTTTTATAAAAATATGACATAAAATATAATTTAAGAGTCGTGGCTATGATTTTACGAAATTTTGAAATTGTATTAAACCATTTTTAACGTCCCACTGCTGGCACGGGCCTCTCTTTAATATGAAGGGAATCAGGCCATAGTCCACCACGCTGGCTAAGTGCGGGTTGGCGAACTTCACATATCTTTCGAAAACTTTTTAAATAAAACTATCTTTTCGGATTTTTTCGCGAATTTATTTTGATTTTTGGTTCCCGACGTTGCTTTACAGCAATCATGGTCACGGGAGAGACTGAGGTGTTAGATGTCTCTAAGGTATTATATAGTTGTTACAGACAGCCTACCCACAATTAACAAAATGAATTCAAAAATTGAAAAATGGCATTAAAGTACGTTACAATATTTTTACTTTTAACTTTAAATATTTTTATATAATTTTAATTAGCTTTATAATTGAATATGGAATATTATTTATTTAATTTGAGCTGTTATTATTATAATTATTACAATTTTAAAAATATTAATTATTAATCTACATTTTTAGTGTTGCCATTATTATATTTATAACCAAAAAATCAAAATAAATTCGCGAAAAAATCCGAAAAGATAGTTTTATTTAAAATGTCAAGTATTCGCGTAAATCTAAGAAAGTATTATTTTCGAAAACTTGTTAGGTTCTCTCAAACATGCAGATTTCCTCATGATGTTTTTCTTCACCGTTAGACAAGTGGTAATCGTGTTGGAAATAATTCGCACATGAAAATATTAGAGGATCGAGACTGGCTTTGAACCCCGCTTCGTTCGGTTTCCCAATCGAGCGCGTTACCACTGGGCTAACACTGCTTTATATACAACATTATTTGATATTACTAAATAGATTACGATGTGGTATTCAACATCGTTTATTCTATGAACTATGTACATATGTTTAGTAGCTTATACGTAGCCATATACTGAGAATCATCGTCTGTGATGTGAACCTTCGATTGGGTAAATAATACTTTATAGAAATTTAAAGCATTAAGCATCAATCTGAAGTTCATAAATGTACGGCGTTCCCCTATCCTGAATGATTGCCACATTTATGCCACATTATTGTCATATCATTATCATCATTATCACATATATCATAAATTTGTAACTGATTGCTGTTGTCTGTACATGGAAGATATTAGAGAAAAACTATTATCGGGGTCTTTATTCATGCAATAGAACCCAAACCTATGACTAAAACTAAAACTAGATGTTTAGAATTTCTTTCTGTTTGTTGGTTTGTCTGTGAGTTTGTGTGCGTTAATCTCTGAAGCGGCTTAACGGATTTCGGCGGTTTTCATTAATATATTGTCGTAAGCTTCACTTAACATTTAGTATGTTATATTTTAATCGGTTAATAAATAAAAAAGGTATTTCATTTTAGAGAAACACCTAGCTAGTTGAAAAAAAAAGGAGTAGACAGAGAGAGAGAGAGAGAGAAAGAGAGAGAGAAAGAGAGTAAGAGATTTGTGTTTGTTCGTGTACATATATTTAATATAATTTATCATATTTTTTGAATTTTGTATTATACCTACTTATATATAATAATATTGGAAAAGCAAATTATACAAATATTTGGTTGTGACCGCTTTTGACCTACTCATTTAAAGTTTTAAAGAATAATTAACATTATTTTAAATTTTTAACAACTTATCCTGTTGTTTAAAAATATCTCCTTTTTTGATTTTGATATATTTTCCCTTCTTCGAAATAATTCTAACGTCAGGTATTTTAACTTAATGACTAAGACCGATACCTCAAAAATAAGTTGTTTTCACCCAGGGCTCCTTTCATGGGAGACGTTCATAAAAATGTTTATGGTTATATCAGGGATTCCAAAGATTAACCTTGACATACAAACAAGGAAAAAAGTATAATAAAATTCTAACTCAGCCGAATCTGTACACTAAATTTTATTCAGAAATTCTTATTGAAATAGTCATTGTTATCCATACACAGGCCGAATCTATAATTTTAAGAATTTTTTCTGTCTGTCTTCACATCCCATCACAAGAAAACCACTGGACTGGATTATCCGGGTCAACATACAGGATACTTTTTACTGCGGGAAAATATCTCATGAAATCTATACTAAAGGTTAAAACATAACTAGAGACGAACCCGAGCGGAGCGAGGATGAGTCGCTAGTGTTAATATTTAACAGCTTTTAATCGTACTTGAGTACAATATGTCAAAATCTTATAAATATATTTGATATTTCTGGTGTAATCTCATTTTACCGTGCACTTACCGTGCTGATCTGCCATTCCTGTTTATTATTCAATAACGTCTAAAGTAGCAATATGAGCCTCGTGAAATGGCGGCCTTCCTCTAGGCGTCGGGTAAATAATTATCACGGTAGGGCTTACTTGTACCGTGTAATCGTATTTTATGAACCTAATTATAACGTATATGGATTTTATATGTTATTTAAGTTTCTACGAGTAATACACTTAATTTTATATGTAGATACAAGCGACTGTAATCGTGCGAAGGATTAATAGCCTAGATTTCTAATAATAGCCTATGCTGGTACGTATGGTTAAAGTCTCTATCTAAATATTAAATTTTATCAAAATCTGTCCAAACATGTCAGCGTGAAGTAGTAACATACAACATTTAACAACATGCACGCACAACTATTATAAATGCCACACTTTGTTGTTCATTTCTGACATTGAAATAAACTTTTTATTCTATTCCTTCAAAATCTTAAAGAAGATGCAAGAGTATAATTATTTAAAGTTACAATAAAGAGGAAAAACATCGCAGCTAAATAAATAATCAAAAAAGGCACGGATAACGTCTGTGGTGTGTGTATATACACATAGAAAACTATATTCGACAAAGACATACTGATTCCAAAAATATTAATATTTTAGCCTTCATTTTACCTTATAGAATCCAGGTGCATTTTTTTATAATTTACGAGTATTACACAACTATCTGTCTACTAAATCATATCCAAATCTATCTAGCCGTTTCTGCGAGAAGTAACAAACATACACACAAAAACAATATTTCGCGTTTATATTAGTTCGGTTAATTTGCTCAGCCCTCGTTATATTTAAACCATATATTTTGACGACACGTTTGACTCAGTTTGTAGTGATCCTACTTGCTGTACCAGCGGTCGCGGGTTCGAGTCCCGCTGGGGGCATTCATTTGTGTGATGAGCACGAACACGTTTGTACTCCAGTCATGGGTGTTTATATTTATAATTTGAATGTATTTATACGTAGCCTCTGGTATCCATAACCTCGCCCACAAGCCTGTTAGCTTACCATGGAACTAGATGGTGCTGTGTGTTAATGTCCTAATATATTTAATTATTTATTATTCATATCCAATCACCTGTATAATGCTAGTTTTTCCAACTGCAGGGGCGCCAAGCAGTACCACTTTGATGAGATCCAAGCTGTCCGGGCTGGGCTCAACGCTGGGTGCGCCGCTCACCGTCATGTTGCCCACGCCTCCACGCTCCAGATAGTCCAAATCCAACTCTAAAAGAAAAAGATATTTATATGTCATTATTTGGCTTAATTTTTGTTTATATGGAAAATTGGTCTTACTTATAGTAAAAGATTTTTATATAAAAATGACTTATGCGTGTCTTTAATTAAGCTATTAAACAATGTGATTTGAAAGAAAACTTCTATTATTACAATACATACATATACATACATACAACTTGGAAGTTAGGCCACTTTTACGCTGACTTTTACAATTCTATAAGTTGTTTAAGGTTTATTTTCTAATACTTTTGCTCAAAAGTCCCTTATAATATGTAATAACATTTACTATTTATTAATAGGTAATATACCGAATTGATACAAAGATAACTGATTAGGTTAAGAAGTCATGACGACACAAATCACCCATCCAAATAAGTTCCACTGTTGATATATGGCTTTTCATAACGCTTATATTGCAGTAAGCCACATAAGTACATAGATAACTCAGAAACTATCGATTCCACTTCTAAGGTACAACTTTGAAGTTAGTATAATAATTATCTGAAATTCATTTAGGTACTTGTCTTGATGAATTTGTAGAGCTTGCGTTTGAATTATTCCTGTTAACGATGAAAATACAATATTTAACATCGAATACATAAATAAAATTAAAAATCAATCAAATCAACTTAAAAGTTTCTCTTAAAAGCTTATTCTATTTTGAAAAAAATGCTTATCGACAAAAAATCCATACCTTATAATAATGAGTAGGTACTAAAACCGTATACAAATAAGATACGAATATTATATGTATCACTGTAATAGGACAAGATTTGATTAATGTGATACATATCACTCAGATCCTCTCTACTTCAGCGATATTAATCGCACGAGCGTAATAAATACTATTCACTAATATCAACTTCGATATTAATCTTACTACCATGCGAATGAGAAAGTTTGGATGGATGGATGTTTGTTACTCAATCACGCCAGAACGGCTGAATCGATCTAGATGAAATTTGGCACAGAGATAGATTATAGTCTGGAATAGCACATAGGTTACTCTTTATCCCAAAAAAATGTATGGTTCCCGTGGGATAGATTTGTTTTTGTTTTCGTAGCGACGAACCCGAGCGAAGCGATTAATATTTATAAGCTTTCACTGCTTACTAAATATTTTTTTTACTCTGTTACCTTTAATTAAAAAAAGACAAAATATATCGTCAACATAATTTTTTTAAAATAAGTTCTGATTTTTTTTTTACTATTAAATGACTACAAAGGCCTTCTTTTAGCTCCATTTTTATTATTGAAGAATTTCTAGATCTTAATGCTCTCACTTAATCATGCGGCAGGTTCATTTTTTGGTTTTTCTGATTAGGTATTTTTATAAATTTAAGATAACCGTAAAACTTAAGTTTCTTCATTCCACTATCAATGGTTAATTGATTATTGTAATCATTTAAAAAAAAAAACACATTTTTATGTTTTTGTTTGAGTACATACTCGTACTTACAGTTAACTTTTATTTTAATTTTATTTTTGCTCACTAATGTATACTATTATTATTAAGTTATTATGTTGTTTCCATAGAACAATGCAGTGTTGCTTATAATTAGGGCATCATTTAGTCTAGATCTTCTTTTGTTTCTTAGCATTTACAATTGTAAGAATGTATGCTCTGTTAGCGACCTAGACCTATGTAATAAATCCATATCCACACTTTCATACTAATATTATGAATGTAAAAGTGTGTTTGTTTGTTTGTTTGTTTGTTTGTTTGTTTGTTTGTTTGTCCTTCTTTCACGCCAAAACGGAGTGACGAATTCGCGTGATTTTTTTTTTGTGGAGATAGTTGGAGGGCGGGAGAGTGACATAGCCTACTTTTTACCGCGGGAGGTTATCTCATTCCCACGGGAAAACACGTTATAATACAATCCAAATAAATATTTATGATCATAATTACTTGAAACTTAGTATTAATGCTCTTCAATAGAATTAAATAATTACGTGTTTTAGCATTTTTGGAAATTCATGCTATAAGGGGGTAAAATAGGGCATGAAAGTTTGTATGAAATTACTTTTTTAGTGATTTTTTTGTAGTTTTAGCGCGAGCGAAGCCGCGGGTTCTGCTTGTAAATAAATAAATATTATGTCACTGTTACTGAATTTACATTGGTACATCAAACACATCAACCGCATGCCAGCAAGCGTAGTGTTAACGTAAAAGTAAAATATTTTTATCGTACACATTTTTATAAAGATATAACACAAAAAAAATCTACGCAGATATGGTACAATATGTAGGTAGCATTATCGCTAAGAAGAATAAGGGAAATAAAAAAAAACGGAAGAACATTAGAAGACGGATATACATAGCAAAGACAATAGTTAAATAAATGTTTGTAATTAAAAGCATTTTTTCTCAGAAATGACATATTTTCCCGCGGTAAAAAGTATCCTATATGTTGAACCGGATAACCAGCTATCACCATACCAAAAGACAGACAGACAGACAGACAGACACACAGACAGACAAAAATTCCAAAAAACTATATATTCGGCCTCTGTATCAAAAATAATGTTTATTTCTATAAGATTTTCCAAAAAATATTTAAAGTACAGATTCGGCTTAGTTACAATTTAATTATATGTATAGATTAATACAGAAACACCTCCGCTCCCTCGCAGGCCCTGCGCCGCCACCCTACGCACCATGCGCCCGTCTAAAATGCTGTGTAGGATTTTCGAAGCCGGATGATTTTGATGAGAAACTGTGATACACGTGTCTCATAGTTTTAATTGAAAAGCATGTGTACTAATTTTAGAATCAATCGGCTCAGAGAATAAAAAGTTGCTCAGAAAATTCACCCCCCCCCCCCTCATTTCATCTTCTTAGGGGTGAAAATTCATAAAACCCTTTCTTAGTGGATACCTACACTTCTCAAGCACTTTCTCCAAATTTCATGTCTCTAGGACGAAAGGTTTACGCTGTGCGTTGATACCTATATATATATCTCTTTCTCTCTCTTTCTCTATATATATGTATAACTATTTACCTATAATAGAAAGCTTTCAAAAACGTTATTTATCTATTCAGTTCATTTTAACAAAATAAAAAATAATTTAATAAAAAGTCAAAACATACCTAACCTTTACCAGTTCAGTTTAACAGTAAACGTAGGCGATGCGAATATAGAAAGAGATTTGGATTTCTTTCAGAGCTTCCATTTATTCGGGCCGCCTTGAGATTTTTTGGGAATAAAAAAGATTGAATCGAATTATGCCACCATTGAAGCTGTCAGAGTGGATTAGCAGGCAACAAAAGAATTTTTCGCACCCGAATTAAAAAGCTCGATCGATGGAATGTGTGTATTGAAGCAGGGGCATGTTATTGAATAATAAGTATTTTAAAATCGTTTTTAATACAAACTTGTAATCTGAAAATTTCCCTTTATTTAGCCTTCCAATTTATCATTAGACCAGCTCCATTGTACCATATTGTGACTAAAGTTTAATTAAATAACAAACATTGCTTACAAAATATTGCTTATGGTATTGATACTATTTTTTTTCTTAATAAATATAAATATGTTGGGACATAAATACACAGCGCCATCTAGTTCCATGGTAAGCCTGCGAGGCTTGTGTTATGGATACTAGATAGTTGATACAGTACACATATATAACTTTTAAATACATACATATTATAAATATAAACACCCATGACTGGGGTACAAACATTCGTGCTCATCACATAAATGAATACGCCCAGCGGGAGTCGAACCCGCGACCGCTAGCACTGCAAGTAGGGTCACTACAAACTGAGCCAAACGTGTCGTCAATTTATGTTTAAGCACGTGCCATATAGAAATAATCCAAGAAAATCAACTTGATATTAAGTTCTTGTATACAATAAATCCTAGAAGTACTATTATACAAGTACTAGCGGCTCACCCTCGCTTCGCTCGGGTTCGTCGCTAGGTACGTTTTAAATAGATATAAAAAGTTATTAGCCAGCGTAAGCCATATAAATTTTATTTTTTTTTCGTTAATTATTCTGATGTTTTAATACTTACCTATTCCGGACTAAGAGAAATCCAAAAATTAAAATATCATAAAAATTGGAACGCGGTCGAACGGGATAAAAAGTATCCTATGTCCGTCTCTGGGTTCTAAGCTACCTCCCCGCTAATTTTCAGCCAAATCGGTTCAGCCGTTCTGGAGTTATAAATAGTGTAACTAACACGACTTTCTTTTATATATATATAGATATGTGACTCAAACCGAAAAGTCAATTTGGGCCATAGTAAGAAAAAAAACGACGACACTCACCATTTTACCAAGTCTTTTATTTATTATCTTGTTTTTGTGTTCAGCAGAAAAATGCCGATATTTCCCAAACAAGTATTATTTATAGTCGCCGAGTTATTTTCGCAGTTTGTATAAAAATATTTTGTTGCCAATGTTATAATACTATTATCGCAAATTTTGATATTTCTGTTGTTCATAAACTTGCTATATTAATGAAGTTAAGACCCAAAACCACAACTTTATTTATAAACTAGCGACTCACACTCGCTCCGCTCGGGTTCGTCCCTACTTACGTTTTGACGTTTAGTATAGATTTCTCAGAAATGATATATTTCCCGCAATAAAAAGTATCCTATATGTTGACCTGGATAATCATACTAAATTTCATCAAAATCCCTCCAGTGGGTTTTCCGTGATGCGGTAACAGACAGACTGGCAGACAGACAAAAATTCTAAAAACGATAGATTCGGCCTCTGTATTGATAATAATGTCTATTTCAATAAGATTTTCCAAAAAATATTTCATGTACAGATTCGGCTCAGAATTTTATTATATGTATAGATATTTGATTTATTACCAACCCGGGTTATTAATTGAAATTCACTGAATTTTTAGATTAAAACTCAGAGACCCTGCTTTTTGTGCAATTCATTTTATTCATATAAAATGTATTTTTAACACCTAGGCATAATAATAAATCGATTGATATCTCATTTATCAAAATCAGCTC